CCTTGCTATCCACAATCTCTCCGGCAATCCTTCCCTACGTGATCACTCTTCACACCGCCCACAACATATGGCTTACTCTAGAACGCCGGCTCCAACCCACAAATCGTTCCCGCGTAATTCAGCTCAAGAATGAGCTACATAAAATTTAAATGCGAGAACAAACCATGCAGCAATATCTGGATCAAATCAAGAAAATCGTCGACAATATCGCAGCAGCAGGTTCTAAGTTCGACACCAAAGATATAGTTCTTTATATTCTCAATGGGCTTCCCGTCGGTTACAACCCGTTCAAGACTGCGATCAGAACTTCGCTTCAACCAATCAATCTTGATGACCTATACTCTCTTCTCAGCAGTGAGGAAATAAACTTCCAACATCAACTTCTAAAAGAAAACCAGCAATCCGACTCCATGGCTCTGTTCACAAATCATTCCACAAATTACTGCGGGAGAACAAACAAGTTTCGCGGTAAAGGATCAGCTACTCGTCAACAAAACGGTGAACGACAACAGCTACCAGTTGAATCCCAAAATTATGCAAGAAACCAACAACCGCGTCCAATTTGCCAGATATGCGAGAAATCTGGACACTCGGCATTGAATTGCTGGCACCACCAGAACCTCAACTATGCTCCTCCAACAAATTCTAGAGCTCTCACTGCTCAACAACAATATGCTGCAACGAACGACTGGATACTGGCTCAGGCGCATCCTCTCATCTTATTGCCGATGTGACAAATCTTCAACAATCAACACCTTAAAACGGCTACGACTCAATCTCCATTGCTAATGGTAGCAATATTTACATTCAGAACTCGGGAAAAGGCCTACTGCCGCTACCCGAGTCTCACCGTAAGCTTTACCTTCGAAAGATTTTTCATGTTCCCTCGCTAAACAATAATCTTTTGTCCGTTTCTCGACTAGCTTCCAACAACAACATTTCATTCTCTTTTACTGCTAACGAGTTTGTTATAACGAATATTCAGGACAATTAGGTGCTTCTCCGTGGTCCCAAACGCAATGGTTTGTACCACAACAAAGCTCCCACCACATGTAACAAGTCTGCTTTCACAATGCTTCATTCTACAAAGATTCCGTGGCACGCACGCCTTGGCCATCCTCATGGCCGAAAGCTTCAACTGCTAGCCAAATTAGCTCCAGAAATATTAGATTGTTCTTTTAATACTATCTGCATTTCATGTAACGTTTCAAAAAGTCACAAACAACCCTTTTCCCTTAGTAATTCTGTTTGTAATAAGCCGTACCAGCTCGTCCATTCGGACGTCTGGGGTCCGGCACCTACACTTTCTTTAAATGATTTTCATTACTACGTTACATTCATTGACGATTTCACTCGTTTCACATGGCTGTATCTACTGCAAACTAAAAATGAAGTACTAGCTAAGTTTCAACAATTCTGTAATCTTGTTAACAACAAATTCAATACTAAAGTTCAAACTTATCGGTCAGACGGTGGCAGAGAGTGGTACCGCATTTCGTACTTACCTGAATAACCACGGCATAACCCATCAAATTAGTTGCCCGCACACACCTGAGCAGAATGGCACTACCGAGCGCAAGCATCGACACCTTCTAGATCTTACTCGGACGCTTCTTCATGCTGCTCATCTTCCCACTTCTTTATGGCCGAAGCCATATCCACCGTGAACTATCTCGTTAATCGCCTCCCGTCATCTGCTATTCAGAATCAAACTCCATATCTTTGGTTACACGGCACTCAAGCATCCTATTCCCATCTTCGCACGCTCGGGTGTCTATGCTTTCCCTGGACAAAACCTTACGCTCAGCACAAATTGTCTTCAAGATCCCAGGAATGCATATTCCTCGGTAACTCGACTCAGCATAAAGGTTATTGCTGCCTTCAAATTTCACAAAATTGTATATACAATTTCCCGCCATGTCGTTTTCTATGACCATATTTTTTCCTTCTCCACAATCAAGCCTTCAGAGAAAAATAACACCGGTTCTGATTTCTACTCTCCTCTTCTTTTGGTTCCTTCCTCCACCATTTCATCTAATCACAACACTACACCTCCAATAACAGAAACCAACCCATTAGTTCCCGTTCTCAACTCCTCCGACCACATCACAGAACCTGTTTCTTTCAAAAACCCGTCCAATCCACCGATTCCCCAGCACCATATGCAAACTCGCCTTCGATCTGGTATATCTAAGCCCAAACAAATCTTCAATCTATCTGTCGTTCACTCTGAGAACCCCACACCTACAACTTACACCGAAGCCTCTAAACACGGTCATTGGCGCTATGCTATGTCCTCCGAATATCTGGCTCTGCAAAAACAAGGGACCTGGTCACTTGTCCCTGCTCCTACCAACAAGCCAATAGTTGGTAGCAAGTGGACATTCAAGACAAAGCTTCTTCCTAACGGACAAATTGATCGTTACAAGGCTCGTCTCGTCGCCCAAGGCTGTTCTCAGGAGTTCGGCGTGAATTTTATCGAGACCTTTAGTCCGGCAGCTAAAATGGTCACCATTTGGATGCTGATCACAGTTGCTTTAAATCATAACTGGCCGATAACTCAGCTCGACATCTCGAACGCTTTTCTTCACGGCGAGTTACAAGATGAGGTATACATGAAACAACCTCATGGATTCAAGGACACACAACACCCCAACTACGTTTGCAAACTCCACAAATCGATCTACTGTCTCAAATAGTCGCCTCGACAGTGGTTTCAGAAACTAACAAAGTTCTTGCAAACTCTCGGCTTCACATTCAGCATGATCCTTCTCTTCTTCTCCTCAAACAAAATGATATCTGCTTGTTCATTTTAATATATGTCGACGATATTCTCATTACAGGTAACAATCCTGACAAAATTCAACACATTTTGCATCAACTTCACTTCGAATTTAGCCTCAAACAGCTGGGTGACATCTCCCTCTTCTTGGGCATTCAGGTTATTAAAACTAACTTTGGCTATTTTTTAAGCCAATCCCACTATGCATAAGATCTGCTTCTTCATGAAGGATTATCTGAATGCAAGCCAGCGGCCACTCCTACGCCTACCCATCCACCTACCTCCATTGACGAACAACCATATCCGGATCCACAATTTTTCCGCAAATTAGCAGGTTCGCTGCAGTATCTATCTATCACAAGACTCGATATCGCATTTGCAACCAACTCTATCTGCCAACACATGCATCAACCTCGCAAATGTGATTACCAAGCTCTCAAGCGCCTTCTACGCTATGTCAAAGGGTCGATCGATCACGGCCTTCCCCTTACCACCGGTACCATGCATCTACACACCTATACAGACGCCGACTAGGCGGCCAACCCCACAGATAGGAAATAGATGTCCGGCTTCATCACATTTCTCGGTCCCAACTTAATTTCTTGGTCTGTTAATTAATAAGCAAACAACCGTCGCAAGATCATCTACCGAGGCGGAATACCGATCCCTATCCTCCGCCACTTCAGACATTCTGTGGATTCGTAGACTGGCGGCAGATCTTTGTATTCCGCAAGCATCTCCAACAACAATTCACTGCGACAATACCTCCACAATAGCTCTCGCCAATAATCCTGCCTTTCACGCGAGAGCTAAGCATATTGAAATCGACTACCATTTTATTAGTGATCACATTCGGCAGGGACATATATATAAACTTAGCTCACATCTGCACAACTGACCAAATCGCCGACATCCTTACCAAAACTCTTTCGATCAGCAGGTTTCAGATGCTACGGTCCACATTAACCATTCGATCCCATAATGATTAATTTGAGGTGGATTGTTAAGGAACTCTCCACGTCAGCAGATTAAAGAAACAGCCACGTCATTATAATTGTACTTTCTTGCATTCTCTGTATTAGAATTTATATATATTCACTCACCGTGTAATAGATTAGCAGTAAAAATTTTTGGAATAATAATCTTGAAGACTGAACGACTCATGAGTTCTTCTTGATCAAGCTTTTCAACTCAATATTTTAAATCATCGTGTAATAGATCCGAATAAATACGAGTGTAGACTATAGGTAAAAAAAGCTTATGATATAGTTTTAATAATATATATAATATTATGTACGGAATTTAAAATATATTTTTACAAGAAAAAATTTGTCAAAATCTTCTAATTAGATTTTAGATTAGAAAGAATTTTGAAGTCTTTCGATCTTTTTTGAGATGAATGTAATATGAAACTTATTTTTATATTATATTAATCTTAAAATAAAAATAAGTTTAATGACTTAAAAAAAATGATCTGACAAGTTATTTTTACTTTGATATTTATTTATATAAAAATAACTAAATTTCATAGTTAAAAAAAATTAATCAAACATATTCCTTTATCCTTCCAAAAAAGTGATTAAGATGAGTGGACAATATAGATAAATAAACCGTACAGTATATATAAAATATTTATTATTGTAATAATCTCAAAATATATTAAAAATTTATAAAAATAAACATGACCTCACAAATTATTTTTATTTTTAATATTGATTTAAAAAATAAATAAGTGTTATTTTTGAAATTATAAAAAATCATATCAGCTTCTCCTAACAAAAAAGTTATTAGGATAGTTAAAAAAAATTTCAAATCTATTTTAAGTTAAATATAACAACTCGGTATTGCTCGGTATTACTCGGTATTTTTTTCTAGAAAAAAATCGGTACAACTCGGTATTGTTCGGTATTTGCTCGGTATTGGTTATTGCCGAGCAAAATCGACCAATACATAGCAATACCGAGTAGTACCGAGCAATACCTAGCAAAATCGAGAAATACCGAGCCATCCTGGGTCCGTTCCGGGTCGGGTTGTCGAGGCGCGAGGTAAATAGTGAGAACGCGTGGCGCGATTCTACTGGCGGCCGAACGTAGAGCTACGTCCTGTGACCACACCAAATAAAAGTTCCCTACCAACAAGCTTTGGCTCATTGAAGTTTTTTTTTTCTTTGAACAACTTATCTCGTAGTTTCATTCAAATTCGTTCCTCAACCCAATAATTTTACTTGTAAAAAGCTCGTGAAATATATCATTTAGAAAAGAAACTAATTATTTGATACAATCATTCATACTGCAGCAGCAACACACAATCAACGGAAAATTAACTTGCTTAATTAGGCATTAGCATCGCAGGAGCCAATGCCTTTTTATTCAAAATATATACTAATAAAGCTTCTTTCATCGTCTCGATCTGTATTAATGTTACTCTTCAAGGATGCAGCTTCTTCACCTTGTTCTGCGCGGCGCCGGACGCCGCCGCCGTGCCGTTGCTATGCGGGATGACGACAACAACAGCATTGCCAACATTGGTTCCAGTCGCCCAAATAGCATTGTTAGAGTTATCGTATATGACGACGTTACGATCTCTCTGGACGATGAGATAATAATTTCCATTTTGGCGATTGGTGTTGCTCGCCCAGATAACATTGCTACCACTATAAATTACGAGATTACCATCAGTCTGCATCCTGAGAACGCAGCCGGAGGCCCGTCCGTTGGTCCCTGTGGCCCAAACTGCTCCGCCGTTATCGTAGAGAACGAGGTTACAATCTTGCTGCATAATGAATAAGTAGCCGCCTTGTGCGAGTGATTGTCCGGGTCCAAGCGACTGGCCGGCGTTCAGGCGGTCGTCGGCAAAGGCGGGAGTGGTTAGGAGGCTAAATAAGGTGGCGACGAAGAGGAGGAGGATTGTTGGGGAGCTAGGGGAGGAGGCCATGGCTGTGTGGGTTTATTGGGAGGTTGGGAGTATTGGGTTATGCTTTGGTTGGTTGAGTGGATGCTGAAGGGAAGATGGGTCGCTATTTATAATGAATGTATGGGTACGGATCAGAATATAATAATATAAAAAATGGGATACGCCATATGGGATCGAGTTAGGGCATCTCCAACAAAAAATCTCATTTTTTACACCAAAATGCAGTGGAACCGAAAAATGTTGTGATTCATCTCCAATCGAATATCATTTTGCCCTGTAACCATTGTTCGCGCCTTTCTTCCGCAAGTTCTGCAAGTTCGGTAGAGACCAACAAAATGACGCAGATGAACAGTGCACACCAATATTGGCATCGCACTGTTCATCCACGATCAAATGGCGTCAAAAATGACGGTCGGTTGGAGCAAAGCAAGAACGACAAACAAGCCATTGGAGTTGCCCTTATGCGTGCATTACGCCGCATACCGTTTTATCATAATTCATAAGGCATTCGTTATAAGGAAATTTTCCAAGTTTGATTTTTTCTCGAGATTTGTGCCGGATCAAGATAATTTTTTGAGGATTGTATCGATTAGGATCATTCAAATTTTGTTTAGTGTTGAATCCAATTTTGGTGTCCTTTTGTCATTTGGAGGTATGCTTGGCCTTGTCTTGTCATCTCAATTTACATGGGTAAAGCTAGAACTATTCATGTTCAAGTTCCTCAACTCATGCTCGAATTCCCTCTCAAATGACTCACCTCCTATGAGGGGAGTAACTTTAAAGAATTATTTTCCTATAACAACTTTACGAAATAGGTAAAAATGTTGTTGTCTTAATATAATTAATAGATAATTATCAATTTTAATAAAAAATAAATAATATTTATAGTGATATTTATAAATTGTGATAAACAATAATTGATATAGATAACCATCAATTGTTGCCGCTAGCTTCAGAATATCGTAGCCACATGCACAACTTCATTAATTGGCATTTCATTTTCGATACAGCGAGATGATATCGGAAAATTCAAACCCTCTTCTCCTTCAGAAGGTGAATTATTACGTCCGGTCGCTGGATGTCTGGACATTTAATTCAGATGCGCCACGACACCCGAATACATTGGGTTCCGGTATATTTTGGTGATGTGACGTGTCTGAATTAGTGTCCTGACAAATCCGGACATCGGACGTAAAAATTTTCCCTTCAGAACCATCGCCGCCTCGTGCTTTCTTGTTTTGTTTTGTTTTTTAACAGAGTTAAGTAGCTTAAGTTAACCTCGTATTTTTTTTTTGTTGGCATTTCATTTTCGATACAGCGAGAAGATAGCTTAATTTAGCCTCACTATCATCTCGCTGGCTTCAGATTATCATAGCCACATGTTCAGCTTCAGTAGTTGGCATTTTATTTTTGGTACGGCTAGAAGATAGTGAAAATTTTGAACACAAGTTTTGGATTAATTTTTCCGTGCAGACACCAAACTCCGTCCTGAGATCAACTAGAATGTGCCACATCACCCCTTCGCTCAGTGCAGTAGCTCGTTACTGCTCAGTATCCCTGACGTGACGCATTCTGGTTGGTCTCCGAATGGTGTTCTGAGTCCAATCTCCACAAAGAATAGTTTCTCCTCATTTAGGAAGGTATCATGAGATTCATGCATGCAACAAAGTTTGCTAAGAAAGGCATCGCAAGACTACATGCAAGTGGAGAGATTATTCTGTGTGGAATCCGAATGTATTCGGAGACGAATGTAGACGTGCCACATCACTGGATGGCGCTGGGCTCCTGTGATGTGGCATGCCCGAATTCGCCTCCGAACACGTTCGGAATCTACACAGAATAATTTTCTCTGCAAGTGAGGAGAAGTGGACAACGAAGTTCAAGAATGACAAAGGCTTTGGCCCCCACTGGCCCATTAACATAAACATATAGAAATTAAAGCCAATAAATCTTGACCATTTAAAATCCCCTAGGGCCCCCACTAGCCAATTAATAGAAACAACTCACATTGCTTTAACATTTAAAACCCCCAGGGCCCCCATTGGCCCATTAAAAAAATTAGATAAATTAAAATTAAAACTAAACGCTCATAACATTTAGTCATTTAAAATCAAAATGTGACATCCATGGTATTAAAACTTAGATCTTGAGGATTATGAGAACTAGTCTAACCATTAGACTACAAGGGCGATCCGGCAATCAAATTTTACTAATTATAACTTAAATTATATTTATATCAGATATTAATCCTCTATTTTCTTTTCTCTTAATTCGTCACAAATATATGTGTGTGATTTTTTTTCTTTTTTATTTTTTTAAATGTGTGTGATATATATTTATCAAATTCATTAATAAAGAAATGTTACAAAAGAAGACCTCACAAAGCAAAGTTCAAGAATGACAAAGGCATGGGCCCCCACTGGCCCATTAACATAAACATATAGAAATTAAAGCCAATAAATCTTGACCATTTAAAATCCCCTAGGGCCCCTACTAGCCAATTAATAGAAACAAGTCACATTGCTTTAACATTTAAAACCCCCAGGGCCCCCATTGGCCCATTAAAAAAAACAAAGAAATAAAAATTAAAATTAAACGCTCATAGCATTTAGTCATTTAAAATCAAATGTGACATCCATGGCATTAAAACTTAGATCTCGAGGATTATGAGTGCTAGCGTAATCTTTAGACTACAAGAGCGATCCGTCAATCAAATTTTACTAATTATAACTTAAATTATATTTATATCAGATATTAATCCTCTATTTTCTTTTCTCTTAATTCGTCACAAATATATGTGTGTGATTTTTTTTCTTTTTTATTTTTTTAAATGTGTGTGATATATATTTATCAAATTCATTAATAAAGAAATGTTACAAAAGAAGACCTCACAAAGGGCCACAACACAAGCTTACAGGAAAAACAACAAAAACAAAGAAAAGACCATTAAGATTAAAGGGTCGAAAGACTCAGACTTAGACCAGTTTCGGGTTGTCAGGGCGGGGTCATCCACTAGTAAACACAAAATCGAAAGAAAAGGGACAAACAGGTTGCCAACCAACCCTGGCCATCCACGATGCTTGCAGCAACGCTGCTTCCACATCGTCCATATCAAAACTATTTAAACAGGCAACAAACAGATCACAAAGGCAACCCAACAATAGAAAATCAACAATATCAACAACCCAAAACAACACATAATGGCCAGTAAAACAAAACCAATGCAGCAACCATCAATCAGCGACCACATCTGCCCCAGCCACGAGACCTACCACGAGAGGCAACAGAAACAAGAGGTTTGTCGCGCAACAAATTAAAAGAATTACCATGATCTCCATCTCCAATTGATTCAACAGAATCAGAATCAGAGTCAGAACTATACTCATGAAGCCAGTCGAGCTGGACTCGAAGATCAATGCCCGAATTATCCTTCACATTATACATTAATCCTTGAGGATCCATAAAAGTAACAGGGACATCTACAAAATCATTATTTACTAAGCGATCTATAATGATGTTTTAATATATATATTTTTTGATTCAAAAAATAATAGATCATTATAAAGTATAAACTTTATCTCATATATTAAATTTGTGAAATATATATTTTTTTAAATGTATATCGCAGGGAATCGGCAGACCTACATGCCGTTCTTGCCGCCATTAACGCGATGCAATCAGGACTCGAAATTAACGAAACTGTGGAAGAAAGCGAAACCGTGCACAGCTGGAATGGAAACCGGACAGGCCGTCGTCGGCGGTGGAGGCCCGATCGCCGGAACTCCGTCGTGGAGGGCCTTGCGAAGTGAAGCCAGCGGGATTTCACGGAATGGTTACGGAGTGGTTTTTTAGAAATGAGAAATAGTTTTAAGTGGTATGTGTGTAAATAGAAAACTTTAGGTGTTAAATGAGTAAATAACATAGTTTTAAGTGTTATGTATGTAAAAACCCCTTGTTTTTTAAGAAAATTTCAGCTACGTTACTGTCATTTCATTTTCGAGGCTTGTAGAAAATCTTGTACTCCCCTCCAAAAAAAAAAAAAAAAATCTTGTACTTTGGTCCCGCGGCCACGTGTTTTTGGTTCCCTGCCAGAATAAAAAAAGAGGCTTCGGGATTTTTTTTTAAAAAATAATATTTTGCATTAATTTTATTTCATATCAAACACTTTGAAAAATCAAAGCACTTTCATAATATTATGATTAGATTGTATTTTAATTATGATAGACAAGTTTTAGATATAGTAACTACTAATTATATATTTAAGACAAATTATGACTGCTGAGGTTTAAGCTAAGATCATTAAAGGTTTTTTTTAGAGTAGTTAAGATGATCATTAATATTTGACCTGACCCGAAAATTCGGCTCGAAAATTTCAGGCTTGGGTCAACCCGAACATGAACGGGGCGAGTTTGGGTTAGGAATTTGGACCCGTTTGTAAAATCGGGTCGAGTTCGAGTTGACCCGAAAAGCCAAAATCAATCTGGTTTAATTCGTTTTTAATTAATTTTGGAGGATTTTAAAAGATTGTTATGAAATAAGTAATTGTTATTTTCAAAAAAATAATAGATCATGTTGCCCAAACTGAATTAAGCTTGGTTTATTTTAAATTGATTGAAGTAAATCTTACCTTAATTTGATTTAAGTTTAAATAAATCATATTAAATAAAAAAATATAATAAAACTTACCCGAAGCGAGTTCGGGTCCGGTTCCGAAAATTGACCCGTTTGCAAAAATGGGTTAGGTCGAACATGTCCGGGTTGGGCCTGAATCCGACCCGTGACCCGATTTGGATAGTCCTAATTTGTTAAATACACTTTTTTTTAATTTATTTTTTAAACAATAATTTCTTTTTTTTTTCTTAAATGAGGAACTTCACTTAGGTTTTCACGTGAATTTAATCGGATATCACTCAAGATCAGGGGAAGTAGTCTTCACTTCAACTTCAGTCTTCTGTGACTGTGTTAGATCAATCTCACATCCTTATCAAGTTAGCAAACGATCTTGATTATCGCAGGGTGTTTTGTCACCATTCCTACCTTGTTTACAACTGCTACATGAAGTTAACTAAATGGTCTCCGACTCTGGATATTGGCG